CTGCAAAGCATAGACCTTTCCACTCTCCGAGTGCACTGAGATGTAGCTTGACAATGACCAAAGCTTCTCATCCAGCCAGTAGCTGACAAGGGCATTCTCACCTAAGTCTGGGTCTAAGGCAGACACTGTGAAGACGTGAGCACCAGGTGGATTATTCTCTTTCACAAAGACAGTGTAGGAAGGCTGAGGAAAAGTAGGTGCATTGTCATTCACATCACCAATGGGCACCACAAGGCTGCTACTAGCTGACAGTGATGGAGTCCCTTGGTCTTGGGCTGTCACCACCAGTCTGTATTCAGCCACCTCTTCACGGTCCAGGGATTCAGCCAGCACCAGAGAGTAGTAATTCTTAAAGGTGGATATCAGCCTGAAGGGAAGTCCATGTGGCCACAGAGAGCAGGTCACTTGTCCATTGACCCCAGAATCCCTGTCTGAGACACTGATTGAGGCTACAACTGTCCCCAGTGAAGAATCCTCTGGAACTGGTACCAACAGGAAAGTCACTGACACCCCTGGAATATTATCATTCACATCCAGAATTTCTATTAAAACCTTGCAGTGTCCAGACAAGGGGTAAGCACCTTTATCTGTTGCTTCTGCTCGAATTTCATACGAATTAGTGTCCTCGTAATCCAATTCATTATTCAGTATAATTTGTCCAGTATTTGGATCTATCCTAAACATGGTACTTTTAGGTGGAATTACACTACGAATAGAGTATGTAATGTCTCTATTAATGCCATCATCCAAATCAGTGGCATTGAGCTTAACCACCGATGACCCAATGGAAGCATTTTCTAACATTTGTACCTTGTACACTGACTGGTTAAAGACAGGAGGGTTATCATTCACATCAAGCACTGTGATCACCAGCTGAACTGTTCCCGTTAGCGCAGGCTGGCCACCGTCCGTGGCTGTGAGCAGTAAGCGATGCACAGAAATATCTTCTCTGTCTAACGGCTTTGTTATTACAAAGCCTAAGGAATTATCCTCACTGCTCCTTCGGAAATCTAACATGAAATGTTCACTGGGGCTGAGGTGGTAAGTTAACTGTGCATTTGTACCAACATCTGCATCTAAAGCTCCCTCTAGAGGGAAAACGGATCCTGCAAGTCTTGATTCTAGAATAGACAGATTTTCCTCACTTGCTGAGAAAACAGGGGCATTGTCGTTTATGTCTGCAATCTCCACGTCCACATGGAAGATCCTCATGGGGTTATCCACAATCACCTCCAGGTGAATGGCACAAACAGGGTTCTTGCTACAAAGCTCCTCCCTGTCCATCCTAGAATTCACAAACAAGATTCCATTTTGCACATTTACCTCTAAATAATCCTTGTGCTCTTTGGAAGCTATCCTGAACATCCGAGGCACCAGCTCACTCACCTCCAGCCCCAGGTCCTGGGCGATGCGGCCCACAAAGGTGCCATGCTGGGATTCCTCCGGCACAGAATAATGGAGCTGGCCACTCCCCATCTCCCAGGCTGTGTGAAGAAGGACCAACTGCAGCAGCTGCTTCCTCACTGAGTAGTCTCTCCAAGGAACAACCATCTCAAATATATTCCTTTGAATCCCCCTCCTTTATGTGCAATATTGGAGTGGGGGGTGGTTAATCCAGCTTGCTATTACCCTTTGTGCTCCTTCACTTTTGGTGCTGCCTATTTTCTGATGACAGCAAGGAGGAGGAGCTCTCCTATGAGTCTGCAAGAGGTATTTAACAGTAAAGAGTGACACCCTGTGAAGAGATTTAAAAATGCAATTCTTGCAATATTTGGTTGGGCTTTTTTGTTTTCTGGTGTTCTGTATTCTTCTAGTTTTCTTATGCTTCTTTAAATGTATGTGAAGATAGTCATATTTATCTTTGTAATCATTTGACATAAGAGTTATGTGTATGTGGATATATAATTACTCCTGTGTGGCAGCAGTTTTTTAAGATCACATTCCTGCCTTTGAGAGTTTCCATTCTTAAAAGTTTGTGTTGTACAAAGATGAGTATGTTTTCATTCATATTAAAGAAAGATGATTCACTTTAATATTGGGGGAGAAAGTGGGGGTAGAGATGAATGAAAAATGGGAAATGTGAGAAAAAGAAGCACTATGGCCATGATAGATCAAGTGGAACATTGTTACATTCCAAAAAGATAATAGCATGAGAGCCAAAAATCACAGGTTCCCCAAACTACCAAAGAGGATACAGTGGGTGTACCTTTTCTTCACCATTCTTATTTACATACTTTTGCGCCATACTGCTTCTGAGCACAAATCTTTTCCTTTATTCTTCAGGTGGATACATTAACAGTATGGTAACACACTTTATTTGTGCATTCTGTGGCGTCCGATTTGGGTATGTGCTGTGTCAAGAATCTGTATAATATACAAATAAGACTTCTGGATCTAAGATCTCTCGTGAAAGGAGGAATCCCTCTTATTTGTGTTTCACTGTTTTAGACCATGCAGATAATATGCCAGATGATATGCTTGTTGTTGTTTAGTCGTTTAATCGTGTCCGACTCTTTGTGACCCCATGGTCAGGCACTCCTGTCTTCCACTGCCTCCCGCAGTTTGGTCAAACTCATGTTTGTAGCTTCAAGAACACTGTCCAACCATCTCGTCCTCTGTCGTCCCCTTCTCCTTGTGCCCTCCATCTTTCCCAACATCAGGGTCTTTTCCAGGGAGTCTTCTCTTCTCATGAGGTGGCCAAAGTATTGGAGCCTCAGCTTCAGGATCTGTCCTTCCAGTGAGCACTCAGGGCTGATTTCCTTAAGAATGGATAGGTTTGATCTTCTTGCAGTCCATAGGACTCTCAAGAGTCTTCTCCAGCACCATAATTCAAAAGCATCCATTCTTCGGCGATCAGCCTTCTTTATGGTCCAGCTCTCACTTCCATACATCACTACTGGGAAAGGCTAGTAATTTGAATTGCTAACTCTTGAATGGTGTGCTAATGAAATTGTTGCTGTTTTCATTCTGTTTGCTCTGCCAGTGTCTAGCCTGGGCTTCAAGAACAGTAAAACGTAATTATGGCTGCCAGTTTGTGAGTGATGTGGTTGAGCATGTTTAGACATTGATGTTATCACATATAGCTTTGTTCTGGTTTTGGAGATCCACACATATCCATTGGCAGAAGAGCTACAACCATGTAAAGGTCCTTCAGCCTTCTCATTTGTGCTTTGCTGCTCCATAGGCTGAAGTTCCTTCTTCGTCTTCCATGTGATGGCAAGGGGCAACCACTGTTTGATTCATCCCAGGAAACATCTTAGATCCACAACCAAGTCAAGAAATCATCTGGGAATTTGTCAGTCAGTTCTAATTTCAGTAAGATTTTTAAAATCAAGTTTAGGGATGGTAGGTCCTTCAGGCCCAATATTGGCATAGCTGGTTAATTTGGAATATTATGATCTAGAGCCTGGCATCTTTCATTGTACCTATTTATGACACTACACGTCTCTATCACCTGGAGAGGATCACCCATGTAGCCTCCTGTGTTCACTTATACAATGTTAGTTTTATGTCCTAAGATATTCTACTGCATTTCTCTTAGGGACAGAGTTTACAGCTCCAGTGTTCATCTCTTCTTTTACTGGTGCTTCCTTGAGTCTTGTGTGTATTGTGACAAATGTTTTCTCCATTCCTAAACACTGTGTGTGGGTGTCTGTAGGCAAGCTGTAGTGTTGCATCTTGGGAGAGTCCTGGATGCCCTTTGCTTGCCTGCCTCCTTGCACAACATGCTATTGCAAATAAGTTTGCTTATGGTACTTCCTACATATCTTCCACAGAACTGGGTGTTCATCTTGTGTTAGATGGTGTGAGGTACATCTCTTGCAAACATGGAGAGTTTATGTGTTTAATGAGAATGTTGCTATTGCCTTCTGGCATGATTTGGCAGGAGGTTTGGCTTGTGAGGGAGGATCACATTCCTCAGAGGCAAGAGAGTCCATGTAGATGAGAAAATAGGTTTAAGAATGGAAAAAGTGGCGTTGGGGTTTTAATAATGTGTGCTCTTATGTATCTAATATAGAGTTTTTATACATTTAAAATATTTCATTAACAACTGAGATGAATTTGGCTAACTGGGTTCCAGACGCTATTGCCAAAACATAATTACTACAATATTATTTCAAACAGCAATGCTGCCCAATATCTTTAAATCTCTTTTCCTGATCAAAGCTCAAGGCATTCTGCAAAGCTCAGTGTATTCTTTGATTTCCTGGTCAGAGCTCAAAATATTCTGCATGACTATATATTCAAGTAACATGTTTTATAATGAGCAGAAATTATTCCATCAAGTTGTGTTCTGTGCTGGAATTCCCGGACCCAGGTGGCTAATCTATAACCAAAGCTATATTACTCTTCTACCACCAAGAAAATGAACAAACAGGTCATTTCTAAACATTGAAATCACGCTAATATATCCAAGTGAGTATTTGAAACATACTCCCAAGACAGGTACATCACATGACAAACTGAAATGAATAGTAGAGACTCACCTGCCCAGATGAATTAGGGACCACCTCCGTCATAATCCCTACATCCCCATTCTCTGCAAAGACAGGAATGTTGGGGCTGAAAACCATGAGATCACTTTTGGCTCCAGCCTCTCCACTCACTCCTGCCAAAATGTGGCTATGGCGATTTGAGTAAGACCAACTGCCCACTTCACTTGCACACACCAGCGTGGCTGTGCCAGGACCATACACCATTGTCTCCTCTGCTTGCCTCTGGAATCTCTGAGCCACATATAAGATGACTGCAAGCAGGAACAAGCTGGACACTGAGCAGATGGCAATGATTAGGTAGATGTTGACATTGTCCACCAGGGGTCCTGAACCACCTCCCATCCTGGGAAGATGGACATCATCGTGGAACATCTGGGTGTTTGCCACCAGGGACACACTCAATGTAGTTGTTACTGATCGCGGTGGCTTTCCATGGTCCTTCACCAACACCAGCAAACTATGGCTGCTGCTGCCCTCTGCCTCATTCAGGGCACGTCTGGTACTTATCTCACCACTGTACAGTCCCACTTGCCAGGGGCCACTGGTCAGTTCATGCAACTCATAGCGTAGCCATGCATTGTAGCCTGAGTCAGCATCCAGGGCATGGATCTTGCTCACTAAGTGGCCAGCCATGACAGGGACCACCAGCTTGACAGGGCCTCCCCTTGTTCAGAAACTGTTGGGTCATTGTCATTGTCATCCACCACAAACACCTGCACTGTCACATTGCTGCACAAAGAGGGCAGCCCAGCATCCTTGGCCCTCACTTGGAATTCCAGCAACTTCATCTCTTCATAGTCTAAGGACTGCAGTGCATAGATCTTGCCGCTTTCTGAGTGCACCGAGATGTAGCTTGACAGCGACCAGAGCTTCTCATCAAGCCAATAGCTGACTAGGGCATTCTCAGCCACGTCTGGATCTGAGGCAGACATTGTAAAGATATGGGCACCAGGTGGATTATTCTCCTTCACAAAGACCGTATAGAATGGCTGAGCAAAAGCAGGTGCATTGTCATTCACATCACTAATGGGCACCACTAGGCTGCTACTTGCTGATAATGATGGAACCCCTTGATCCTGGGCCACAACCACCAGTCCATACTCAGCCACCTGCTCTCGATCCACAAGTTCAGCTAGCACTAGTGAGTAGTAATTTTTGAAGGTGGGCACCAGCTTGAATGGAAGCCCAGTGGGCCACAGAGAGCAGCTCACTTGCCCATTGGATCCGGAATCCCTGTCTGAGATGCTGATCAGGGCTACCACTGACCCTGGCGAGGAGTCTTCAGGCAAAGGCACCAGCATGGACTTCAATGACATCTCAGGAGCATTGTCATTTACATCTAAAATTTCAATAAGGATAGTGCAGTGCCCAGACAAAGGTGGGCTACCTCTATCTTTTGCCTCAATTTCAACATTATACATATTAATTTCTTCAAAATCCACTTTTCCTTTTACCCTGATTTCACCTGTATCTGACTGTATACTAAATATATTGGAAGGAACATTATTACTGAAGGAGTAGGTGATTTCCTTATTAGTTCCTTCATCTAAGTCTGTTGCATTGAGATGAATAACCAATGTTCCATCTGCCACATTTTCTAACAATTTCACCTTATAAACAGATTGATTAAATACAGGTGCATTGTCATTTGCATCCATCACAGTGATCTCAAGGTGGACTGTGCCTGTGAGTTCTGGCTGACCCCCATCAGTAGCTGTTAGCACTAAACGATGCACAGGGATTTTCTCTCTGTCCAGAGGTTTATTTAAAACAAGTGCCAATGATACACTCTGCTGGTCATTTATTTTTTCTTCAACAACAAAATATTCTGTGGAATTAAGCTTGTACTTCAGTTGAGCATTAACACCAACATCTGCATCTGAGGCTGCCTTCAGAGGAAAACGTGTACCAGGCAGCATTAATTCTGCAACACTGAGGGACTGTTTACTTTCCAAGAAAACAGGAGAATTGTCATTTATGTCCTTGATTTCCACCTCTACATGGAAGACCCTCAGAGGCTTATCCACAATCACCTCCAGGTGAACAGCACACAAAGGGCTCTTGGCACACAGCTCTTCCCTGTCTATCCGGGAATTAACAAACAAAATCCCATTCTGGACATTTACCTCAAAAGAGTCCCCATGATCTTCAGACTCCATCCGGAACATCCGAGGCATAAGCTCATCCACCTCCAGCCCCAGATCCTGGGCGATGCGGCCCACGAAGGTGCCATGCTGGGATTCCTCAGGCACGGAATAATGGAGCTGGCCGCTCCCCATCAACCAGGCTGAGTGAAGCACAATCAGCTGCAGCAGCTGCCTTCTCCCCACTGAAGAACAGTCTCCCCATGGAGTAACCATCTCAGAAATCTTTCATATAACTCTCCTCTTTTATGAAATATATCTGGAAAAAACATTGAAAGAATCTAAATCCAGCCTGCTGATATACCTTTTCTTCCTCCAATTATAGGAACGGGAATGATCTCTGGTGATGACAAAGCAGTGGAAGAGCCTTTTGTTCCCCTTTTATTCGCAGCAAGTTACTTAAGCAGAGAGCGACATCATGCGACTAGATGGGAAAGTACAGTAGATGTTTATATTGTGTGTAGTTTTGGAGAATGTTTGATGTCATCAATTTGTTTAGTAAAATGAAAATCAAGTTCAAATGAATGATAAACAAGATGTTTTTCTTGAAAATGCATTTAATATATTCAAAATGTATATTTTCATTTGCTGGTGAATATGGCTTGTTAAATACACTTGCCCCATCATTGAATGTTTACATCTTTTATACCAACATATGACACACGTTGGCACCACTAGCATCTTTCACTGCTTGGAGATCAGGGTGTGCATGACAATACAGTGGTTGTTGTTGTTGAGTCGTTTAGTCATGCCCGACTCTTCGTGACCCCCTGGACCAGAGCACGCCAGGCACTCCTGTCTTCCACTGCCTCCCGCAGTTTGGTCAGACTCATGTTTGTAGCTTCGAGAACACTGTCCAACCATCTCGTCCTCTGTCGTCCCCTTCTTCTTGTGCCCTCAATCTTTCCCAAGGGTCTTTTCCAGGGAGTCTTCTCTTTTCATGAGGTGGTCAAAGTATTGGAGCCTCAGCTTCACGAACTGTCCTTCCAGTGAGCACTCAGGGCTGATTTCCTTAAGAATGGATAGGTTTGGCACCAGTTCCATGCCTACTTTTCTCAAGTCAAGGAAGAAAGACTGCTAAGCAAAAGAGCAGTTATCAGCACCACTTCATCTAAATGCCAGTTCTTCTAGGCTTGCAGTTCCATGAGGCTCTTTACTATTATTTTCTTCTTCATGGTCTCTGTAATTGGCTTATATGCATTACCTCACTTTGAGAGCACATTGCTAGAATTCCTTGATCAATGATGCAAACAACCACATGAACAAAATATGAACTTCAAGGCGAAGCAGGAATTGGATCTAAGGCTGAGAGCAGATTGCAGTTTTTTACAGAGATGTGAAGACAATATGATAGAACTATGAACATGTCCATGTGGACCATTCCCTGGTAAGAGCCCAGATGAAAAGTCAGAATGCTGTCCCTCTTGCGGAAGATAGCAACTTAAATCCTCGTTGTGGTGCAGGTCATGAGATTGCAATAGATGTTGGATTCCATGTTTTGAAAGGGACACAAGCCCCCATTGGAAATCTTTTGCCCAGTGCCTTTATCTGAAAGTGTATACTGTATCTTCAAGTTCCAGATTGGTAGTCATGTTCTGCTATTCAGCTAATATATGAATGGCAACTTTCAGAAACCAATGTGAGAACACTTTCCTAGGACATTCTGCTGCTCACTTTAAAGTTTCCATTTTTCAACAAAATAATTTTAAGGGATGGCTCCAGTGTGAAATGGAATGTCTTACTAAGCCAATCTTGAAAGATGTGGCACCTCATCCTGCCATTCTCCACAGTATCTCCATATTATCAGACCTACAAAGCTCCCAACAAAGACTAACTCCACACATGTATTAGAATTGAGATATTGATCACATTGAGCATTTTCCTTCACCTTGTCCATCTTTAGGCACACACACAAAAAAACCTTTGTGGATAATTCCCATTGTGTGCTCTGCGTCCAGTATGAATTATTTTCATTCTTCAAAATCCAGAGCACCTTCCACCTTTACATCTGCAGAAGTCTAGTCTACTAGAAATAATGATTAACAAATCTCATTGCATTGTTGCTCTCCCAATCACTTCCATGTTCTTTGTCCATATCTGCTGCGTTGATCAGAAGTTCCCAAGTAAACTGAAGATATTCCAGTCAAACCCAGGAGTGTTCTCACTGGAATGCAGTGCAATAATGTGCCAGACCTTTGGGAAGACCTGACATCTCTTACTATTTACTGGAAACTTCAAATGGTATCTGTCTTTGTCCAACAACTTTTCAAAAGCTAAAAATAGCATACTATTCTGTCCACCACAGTGCTCTACCTTCTTATTTGTTTATTCTTTTTAACAATTTGCAAATGGGGCACTCACTATTACCAATTCAGTTCTGAGAAGCAATATCTCTTTTAGAGGGAAACTGTGTGACTTTATCGTCAATACTGAGGATTTCTATGTCCAGGTAATACAATGCAAGAAGATTTTCAATCCGAAGCTCAAATTTTAGTACTTAACTTACTGTCTGACCACGCAGCTCCTCTGTTGTCCACTATCATGCACTAAGCTGCAAATCCAGATGTTTTCTTGCATTTAACAACACAATAGGCAGTCTGTCAGCAGTTAGGTTTCTGGGATCCTCTGCTGCAATAGACTCACTGGCAATACAGGGCTCCAAATCCTCTGGGATCCAGCAGCAAGCTTCTCTGGCTAGAGAGACGCACACTATGGCAATGCACAGAAAACCGAATGGCAGCCAGTAGCCCGACATATTAGGTTGCCTGGTTTTTTGTAGCAACAGAAAAACAGAGGTTTGCAGTATAATAATTTCCTTCTTCTGCTAGCCCTACTCTCTTGCTATTTCTGTCTCTAGCTATCCATCAGAACAGCACGCAAATTCTGCACTCAAATTCTACGAAAATACAATCGTTTCGCTCTTCTTTCAGCTTGAATTCTGAGCCATTAAAAGATTCCCTTTGCCAGAGTGGATGGTTCTTCCTTTCCAGTCGTGGACAACAGCAACACCTAGCGTCTAGATCACTGCTGTGCTCCAGACACTGCAAACAGCGATGCTCAATGTCGCTTAGATGATGTCACAGGTTTTAGGCTACTGCGAATGAGCAACAATCTGCTCTGGCATTATAATCTATGAACTACTTTTACAAAGCTCTATCCTTGGTTTATTAATAACCAGCTTATATAGTCATTATTCTATGTAGAGTGGGTGCCTTGCGCGCGCGCGCGCACACACACACACCACACACACTTTTTAAGTTTTCCTCTTTGCCTTTGGTAACTTTCAGTAACACTCTGATGTAGTGGTCTCAGGGCTTTCTGCATTAGAACTGCACTGTGGGACAATCTTGTACTAAAGTATGTTGAAGGTGCCATCAAGAACTCTTTTTGTTCCTAAGTTATGCTCCTTAATTCACCAAAGGTACATATACTATGTGTAGAAATGATTTGATTTCATATTTTGCAGCTGGATAAATTATATATGAAAATTATTTTATGATATCCTGTAAACACATTTAAATGTATTATCTCTAGAAATATGATGTACTGTATTTTAAAAAGTCAATATGCCCAAATGGAACCCATTTTTAAATATTTTGCATGGGGGTGGTCCTGCATATATCATTGACATTGTTCTTTGATGCATTGTCCTTTTATTATTATTTAGATTATTTGAATTCAATTATATAGTTACAAAAACTATTCAGATATGATGCACATTGGGACAAAATCATAGCCTCGTGTATTCATTGATGGTGTCTGACTGGCACTGGCCAGGAAAGAGATCTTGCAGTCATGATTGATATCTCGATGAAAACAGAAACTATGTGTGTGGCTGGGGTTAAAAACAGTAAGGCAGATTCCATGCTAGAATTAGGAAAGGGTTGAAAATAAATCTATAACATGGCAATGTCTGGAATATTGGTCAACCCTAATCCATCATAAAGAAGGAATAAGGTTCAGGGGGAAAATTCCGACGTCTCAAATGGTACACCAACTTATACTTTTTATTTTAGAGGAAAACATGGCCCAAGGTAGGCATGACATAAGTTTACAAAATCATGTAAGATGTTTTTAAAAAAAAAAGGAGGTACAGTGGTACCTTGGTTTACGAACTTAAACTGTTTCGGAAGTCTGTTCTTAAACCAAAGCTGTTCTTAAACCGAGGCGCGCTTTCCCTAACGAGGCCTCCCACCGCCAGTGCCCTTCCACCGTTTGGCTTCCGTTCTTAGACTGAGGTAAAGTTTGCTAACCGGAACACTACTTCCGGTTTTATGGAGTTTGTATACCAAATCGTTTGTAAACAGGGCTGTTCTTTAACCGATGTACCACTGTAAAGCTATTTTTTTCTCCCTCTCCCATAATGCTGAAACTCAGGCTTGCCCATGCAATAGCTTGAAGAAGGTGGAGGAAGGGATACTTTTCAAACAATTCATAATTTATGAAATAATGAAATTTATGATATTTGCTGCCAGATGTGGTATTGGCCACTGGAAGCTGGGTTATACTTAAGGAGACAATGCACAGTTAATTCACAGAGGCTAAATTAGCTGAAAAAGAAAGGACAGTGACTAGGTTGCACAGGTGTTGGCAGATGTGTAATGGCAGCCATTTTACATAAACCACAGGATTATATTTACTGCAGTTAAGGGTGACCAGTGAGGGAGCCAAGCTTGCTAATGATACCAAATTGTTCAAGGATGTTAAAACAAAAAGGGATTGCGAGGAGCTTGGAAAGGATCTTTCCAGATTAGGCAAATGGGGAAATGGCAAATACAATTCAATTTAAGCAGGTACAAAGTGAGGCACATTGGGGAAAACAATCCTAATTTCACATATATACCAATGGAGATGAACTGGCAATGATTCACCAGAAAATGTACCTTGCAATTGTGGAGGATAGCTTGATGATGATGTTAACCCATTATGCAGCAGCTGTAATGAAGACAAATACTAGATTAAAGATCATTAGGTAAGGGATTGTAAATAATAGTGTCAATATCATAATACTGTTATATACATCCATGGCTATACTGTGTACAGTGTACTGCAATGGTCACCTCATCACAAAAAAGGTATTGTACAGCTGGGAAAGTTGTAGAAAAGGGCAACAAAAATGAACTAGAGTTTGGAGCACTCTCAAATGTGCAAAAATTACATTTGGGGCATTTTAGTTTGGAAAAAATGCAAGTAAGAGAGGACAGCATAGAGCCATACAAAATTATGCATTTTGTGGAGAAAGTGGATAGAAAGAAGTAAGTTTTAATTTTTAAAAAATACAATTTCACAAGCCTTCTTGGAGTTGAAAGAGAGGGAGTTCCATAGTCTATGCTCCACAACACATGTCACCTTCCCTTTCCCACATTCTCACCAACTTCAGCTCAGCTGTGAATCAGAACTGCTCCAGATGATCTTAGTGGGCAGGGAGAATCGTATGGAAGTACCTATGTGTTCCATACTTCCCAAACTGAATAGACCCCTACATGTAATAACCAGCATTTGAGGCTTGCAAACGAGCCTGGCAGCAGGATTCTACACCTGATGTAGTCTCCAAACATTCTTCAAAGGCAACTCCAGGCGAAGAAGGCATGCGCAGCAGCTCCATACAAAATCTGAGGCACAGGGCCAATTGGGGGTGATCTGTACCTTGGCAAAATGAAACCGTGCTCCCACAAGATGTGGCAGAGGACCTTAAGTCATGACCAGAGAAGCTACGTCTCAAGCATGAGGGAAATTCCAAGGTCTGTGGGAGGGTGAAGCTTTCTTACCATCGGAAGCAGAAACAATT